TGGGTGTCTAAGTGGGTGTTTAATTTGTCAGGACAAATGAGGATCTGAAAGCATCCTATCCTGGTTTCTCTTTTTTAAAAAGTTGCCTATCTTCAGTGCAAGGAAAAGGCAAGTCATCACAGGGGAAAATGAAAAATTTTATTCTGCTCAGTCAAAATCTCCTGTTTATTTCCATTATTGTTATTTCTTTGCTAAAAGTAACATTTTCAGTGACAGGAAATGCTGCGGTGCCTAAAGTCTCACTGGCAAAATAGATGTTATTCACATAGGAAAGCCAGAAATGAAAGAAATCACTCCTGATTGCTGAGCCCAAATCCCTCATCGTTCTTGAGAGCACAACATATAAACCTCAGTTTCTAACAACAAGCTCAAAATCTGCCATCCTCCTCACTCAGTAAATTGTTCATCAGTGAAAGCTTTTCAAAGCTAATCCAGTACTCAACATAAAGTGTTGCCTGCAGACACTGAATTACAGACAGCTCTCTACCTCCTGGCATTTCCATGGTGTGAGCAGCACAGGATTATAAAACTGTTCTCAGACTTAGCACTGTGTGTGCACTCCCATGAATAAATTACAGTTGTGGACATGGCCTGGGACCTCCTGCCTGCCCAACCAAATGGAAGGAAACAGACAGTGAAGTGGGAGAAATCAGAAGCTAGTGAAGCAGATTAGGACTGTAATCTATTACATGGACACTGGATAATTTTAACATAGAGATGCAGTTGAGACATTCTGATCAGATTTCTGCCTTAGTGAGCTCATTTTTCAGAACTGGCATTGCTGGGTATCACAGGCCAAGAGTTCATGCTATGAGTGAGCAGAGACTATCTAATCTGCTGAACATTTTAGCAACTCAATTACAATGTAAGACATTATGTTGTAAAATTACTTCTCTGTCAGTTGAGAACATTGGGCTATTAAAAGTAGATCAAAAGACAGAAGTTAAAGAACAGCCTTTTGAACTACTCTACTGTCCTGTTTTTTGAGATGTATTTCTTTATTGTCCTAAAATATTACAAGCAGTAATAATTTATCTGTTTTTCCATTGCAATCATGACACTACAATAATATAATGCCCAATTAATATACTCTTTAAGGATTTATTTTAGCAAGCTAATAATTGATATAATGATGCATCATGTAAGAGAAGATAATAACTTAAAAGAATACATTGAAGATGTCTCTACATTGCTAACTTCAAATTCAATACTTATTCTCGGCTGAACTGAGATATTCATGGAGAACAACTGCTGCTGTCAGGAAATTATGCATTCCCTGGACACCTGTCTACAGTGTCTTTCACAAGAGAAGAGAGTCACAGCTTTCTGTAAGCTGCTGAGAGTAAATCAAAGTGACCCAACAGAAAATGTGCAAGAAGAGGATAAAGTGATTATAACTGTCTGAAACTTGGCTTCTAAACTAGTTTGGCTCTTAATTTGGTTTTTTATATTTAAAAATATATTACAAAACTACAACAACAACAAAAAACATTAAAAAAATGTTTAGAGAAAAATTTAGATATATTTTAGTTTGAGGTGACAAAAAAAAAAAGATTTTTATAATAGATTTTCTGAGCAGTTCCAACTCTCATTTCCAGGAAGCTCAGTTCCTTTCTGTATAGTCTCATGGTCAGTACCACATGAGGCTGGATGAAAAGTATATATATATATATATATATATATATATATCTTCTGTATTGTTCCATAAAGCCACCTCAGAGTAAAAATGACGAAGTGACACCTCCACTTTGAGCACAAGACAAAGCTCCCTGAGGGCAGTTTTAGGAGTATTGTGCTTTCAACCCATAATTGAAATGCTTTTCTTAAGTAGATGGGTTAAGAAATTATTTAAAGACACATTGGTAAGCATAATAAGAACCTTTTGTAACATTTCTCTGAGTTTGTAATAATTTCTGATAGGACTTACAAAACCAATATATGAGTTTAAAAGACTAAATTTTTGTTGTAACAGCAGAAAGCCTTGCTGCTTCTTTGCTTCACTCAGGTCTTTTCTCACTCTAAGACACGTAGACATGTCTACAGCATCTCCACATTCAGTGATATTGAATACAAGGACAAATTACAGGTGATCCTCTTTGTTTTTTCAAACAGATTTTTTTTTGCTATTTTCTCCTCTCCACTGTTGATGTCCTTCCCCAACCATCACTTTTAATTTCTTTGAGCTCTGGAAGTTTACAATAGTTCAGACTTCCTTTTCATTTCTTCCCTTGGTCTTTCCTTGCTGGCAAATCCACACAGTCTTTGTAATTAATAAATTAACTTGACTTGGAGAAATAGTAGTAAAAGACTCCAAGTCATTGCCCTAGGAGCAGGTTGTTGATGCCAGAGGTTTCTATTCACTCCCCAAGGAAAATTGGAAAATTCCATACCCAATTTTTCTCTTTTAACACGCAGTTTTTATAAAGGCATTAAGTGCTTATTGCACTGGCTCTGAACTATGCATCGATGGATGCACAAGTCCCAAAATCAGCCAGGATTACAGAGCAGCAACACAACCCAAAGGCCACAGTCTCTGCAGACTAAGGAAGACTTCCACTAATTTCACTTGCCATTTCAAACACAAACAGGATCTTTCCAATTTGAAATGAGACTCTTCAGTCATTAAAAAAATGTCTAACCAGAGACAAAAAAACTCAGACTGTGTCCAGCCACAATGCACTTATTATTTTTCCTACCCTATTTATATCTCACGCTGTGGGATATATGCAGTAGACTGAATCCACATTTGTTCCTTGCATTCCTTCTCACATCTGAGAAGATGCAATGAATCATAAAAGGTTTCATTGTTGCAATGTTTTGTCATGGTATGTGTAATCAGCACAGACCCCATTAAAGAGGCTTCGGAGGACGAGAAGTCTAAATATTTAATGTTTTTCTGCCCATGAAAAGTTTAATAATTAATGCTGCTGCTACCCTGGAAATGACAAATCACACAACAAGCATGCACGATGAAAGAAACAAACAGAGCTAATAGAGAAGAAAACCTTACTTAGAAGGTAGTAATTAAAAATGCCTGTAGCCTACCTCAGGATCCCAAAGTACTTTGTTCCTGACCCCAAGAGAAGTTCGTTCCATCTATTAAGCCACCTAATTTTTAGGGAATACAGAAGAGAAGGGATAATTGCTAGTCTTTACCTTACACATGTGAGAAATAAAACACAGGTGTGATGAGCCTGTCTTAAAGACTTCTGGGCCCACAGGGGAGAAAAGGAAGAATGTGAAAGCTTTTGTCTCTTCGTGTCCTGCACATGGGAGCAGCCCTTGAGTTAATACAGAAACTTGTTACATGGCAGCCCAAGAGCAAGACTAGATCTGTGCCTGGTCTGAACAGCATTGTAGCCACTCCAGCACCAAGCAGTATCTACAAATACCAGTTCTTGATACTCTCTGAATAATTTATTTTATAAGACACTACCACCAGCACATTTCTCTGGGTACATTCTCTTCCACATCCACTCCCACTGATGATCTGCAGGTGTGTGCAATCTTCAACCCCCCCCCACCACTGACTTGTAGCTAAAAGAAAATTCATCTCATGCATTGCTGTGCTGTAGTGCTGGACCACGCTTATGCAAATGCAACAGAGTTAACACTGAAGGAAAGCACAAAGCATAACTGTAACAAAATCTCCTGTGATTCATTCAATTTAGACATGTTTTCAAATTATTAGCATTATAAGTCTGTCAGACAAAGAGGGCAAGCACTTTGATATAGACATTGCCACTATATCTGAGGTCTGAGATAATCATATAGTGGGAGAAATTGGTGTATCTAGAAAGTGACTCATCTTACCTTTAGATACCCTTAAAACAGGTCAGGTGATTCATTCCCACCTCCCGAAATTGAGAACCCAGTGTGACTATTTAAGGCTGAGAAGTAACACCCTGCAGATGTGCCAGTGGAGCCAGAGTATGGGCATTGCTGCTGGAGCACCCCTGACACCCTTCTGGCTCACACCTCCTTGTTGTCTCCCAAGAAATTCTCAAGCACAGGACCATGCCCAACAGCTAATGTGGATGCAGCCACTCTGTTTCGGAGGTCATTGTAGTTCACAGAATGGTTTGGGTTGGAGGATTAAAGATCATTTAGTTCCAATGCCCCTGCCATAGGTAGAGATGCTTTCCACAAAACCAGATTGCTCAAAGCTCCATCCAACCTGACCTGGAACACCTCCAGGGACGAGACATCCAGGACATCCACAACTTCTCTGGGCAAGCTCTTCCACTGCCTCACCACCATTGAGTAAAACATTTTTTCCTTGCATCTAATGTAAACCTACCCTACTTCAGTTTGAAGCAATTCCTTTTTGTCTTATCACTACATGCCTTTGTAAAAAGTCCCTCTCTGGTTTTCTTTTAGGCCCCTCTAGGTACTGGAAGGTGTTATAGTTGAATATCTCAGGTGTGTCTGGACTGCAGCTGGCATCAGTATCAGAGAAAGGTACTGCCCTGGCACTGCTAGCTGGGAGAGGTATCATTTTCAAGCAATAAGATCCAGAATTTTAACACATTGAGATTTTACTACAAAACAAGTGTTTTTATTTTATTCACTGTCTAGCCTTCTTGACTATCCTTAGAGTGGGCTTTGAGACTTTAGTATGAGGGGATAAATTAGGCTTCTGACAGTAGACAACATATCTTTGCTAAGCTCAATTTTTTGTAATAAAACTAGGTTAAACAAGTGTTCACACATACTCCTGGAAAACCAGGTCATTCACATCAGTAACAGTCCACAGCCTTTTTAAACCATCTACATGCAGAAAAACATAAAGATGTCACATTTCTAAAGAACATGTCCCTTAATGTAATACCCTTCAAACTTTTATCCTAATTTTTTGCTTTTTTTCTTATGGAGGTGCATAGCATAGTAGAGCATCTCTGCAGCATAACCACAGCCAAGAGATTCAGCTCAAACTCCCTGAAGCCTCTTCAGTGATGCAATGATTTGTCAAGGTCACAGCACTGTGCTCACTCTGGCTTCTATACCCATTCTGACTTTTTTGATCTCAGGCAGCTAGTGCTGCTATAATTTGATTGTGCATCGGGGCTTTTTAGCTCAGCTGAAGGGTAGAACCCTAAAAGCTTGCTCTGAACAACAGAGGAAGAAACTCCAAGGGGAGACTCGAGCTGAGGTCTCAAAGCCAGGGCAGTATCTTTAATGAAGTCTTGCTGAAGTCTGGGTCTCACTTGGCTGCAGGGAGTTCCTTGGTGCTCTCTGGCACACGAGGGCTCTTCAGTGCTCTGTTGCCCAACAGCAAAGTCTCCTGATGCACAGCACTTACTGCTGCTGCTGAGGTTAGTGCTGGCACTTTGCTGAGGGACACCTTCAGGATGAAGAACAGCCTCGTCCTCTTCAGAGAGAAGAGAGCAGGAGCCATCACTGGTCTGACAGCTATTTGCTACTGGGCCATCCCCATTGTGAGGTGGAGAAGAGCTACTCAGCTGGACTGGGGGAAGATGCAACATGCACTCCTTCTCTGTGCAGATGTTTGCCAGCAGCTTGTTCTTTTGGTTTCTTGCTGTCATTCTCTGGAGGGCACAGACGAGATCAGCAAGGCTGAGCAGGAAGGACAGACTGCTGACCCCCCAGATGAAAATCATCATGATGGATTTCTCAGTGGGCCGGGAGATGTAACAGTCAACAGCGCTCGTGCAAGGTGAGTGGTAGCATGAAAAGCGGTCAGGAACAACAAATCCAAAAAGAAAGTACTGCACAACTGCAAAGGCAGCCTCAAGCAGGGTCCTAATAAAAAGATGAACAGTATATGCTCCTGAAAAATTAAGGACTCTTAGGTTGTCTGCACCACAATCTACTCTATTGACAACTGTACTTCTACAAAGCTCCTTCACATCTTTGGGGCTCGATAAACCCTTGTTGCTCTTGCACTCATGCCCCAGGCAGTGCATTCTTACCATGTACATGGCAGCCTTGTGCAAAACATAAATGCTGAATGCAGCATAAGGCAGCAGGATAGACACGGTCTGAATGAGCCAGAACCTAAAGTGAGATACGGGGGAGAACAAGTCATAGCAAACGTTGGAGCATCCTGGTTGCAGGGTGTTGCAGACAAAGCGTTCCTGCTCATCTTGGTAGAGGGGGTAGCCTGCTAACACCACCACTGCCATTCTCAGCAGAATTATCAGCATCAGCCAGATCTTCCCTACAAGAGAAGGAAAGGTAAGAAAGAGTCAGATCCCAATAAGAAAGGCAGGTCACGCAGTGATGCTGTTTCTGTACATGAGGCATTTGAAGAAATAGTCTCCCATCTTATTAGCCCTTTTTTTCTTTGTTTGTTTTGTTTGTTTGACTGGAACTGAAAATCCATTGAAAATGTGTAGCTCATATATTTCATAATCTTCATCTAGACTCAACAATGTAGGAGTTAAACATACAATAAGCCATGCCAACTGAAACCTGATGAAAATACCCTGATAAAAAGAGATCAAAACTGACTAAACAATCCTGTTTCACTCAGTTTTTCTCTGTTGTTGGGTTCCTGCACCTGAATTTTGTCCTATTTCAATAATACAGATCAGGCAACACAGTATGAGACTCATCTAGACAGGAAAGATTGCTCCATGACACAGTATTTGTTTTTGGTCTTGGCCATGACATTGTATGTAAAGCTTATTTTGGCCAGCAAAATCTCTCTGTTGTGTCTAGAATGGTATTTACTAGCTATTATTACTATATAAGCTATTATTAATTATTTGTTATTTTTGATATTAGCAAACTTATGAAAAGTGTTCTAAAAATGTACATTTCTGTGTGCAAATGTCATCCCAGACATTTCTCTCTGTTGCTTATTTGGTTGCCCCATCTTGGCCACGATTTCCAGTCTTTGTTCACCTCAGTGAGCAGCTTTTCTCCACTCAGACCTTAAGTTCCCTTCTATCAAACCATTCTGTGAATCTATCAAAGTCTAAAGCCTTTTCCTGGGCAGAATGGGAAGGCTTAAAGATATTCCATTCTGTTGTCAAAAGTTAAAAATGCATTCTGTACAAACACATATTCAACATCTGAAGTTAAGTTTAGCATTTGAATTTCTCACATTTCCTTTTGAATCCCATCACCAATTCCCTATATAGTTTAGAAAAAGTAGTTAAATTTAATAGTCCCCTACAAGAAAGAGCAGAAAAACTGCTTAAAAACAAAAAGAGGTGGAAAAAAACAACATAATTATTAGATTAATTCTGTTTTAAAGAATTGTTAAGACACGAATTGTAAACACAGGCAGAGAAACAGCAAGACTCAGTGACTAAAGGGAAATAAACAGAGTTAATGGCTGAGAAATGCACTGAAAATTTCATCATTAATAGTGAATGCACATCTCACATGCACAAAAGCTTTTGTGTGCAATCTGTGAAATAACACCAATACACACTATAAAGACTTTTAAAAAAATCCAGACCACAAAACATTTTTCTATAAACTATACAATTATTTATGAGTGTTGCCTTGGAGGATTTTCTTCTATATTTCCCATAAAGCCATTTCCCAGTAGTTGGTGTGAATTTAAAATATTCAAATATTTCCACAACATCGTGTGATAGCTATTATCATACTGAACATACAGTTCAAGTGCCCTCTAAAAACCATTTGTGGCCAGCAGACTGATTATGGGCTAGAAAAGTAAAACTGCACTCTGTAGTGGAAAAACATGAAGAATATGTAAGGCTTATGGGAGATCATCAGAGAAACTGCTGCTCCTGGTAAAATAATATATTAACCAACCATAAATAAATTGAGGCCTTTCCATTTCATCTTTAATCACCTGAGCTGTAGTGGTGGTTTTGCTGTGTTTCCAGCTTCCTGTGTTTATGACAGGCTGTACTGTTACTCACTTTTTGACACAATGTGGGTCGATAGGAAACACCAGCTCTACACAATCTGTCATCTTTAGCAAACCATGTTTCATCCTTAGGTAGCAATTTTTTCCCTGTGAGGACCTCAAAGTGTTTGAAGTTCATTAGTTAATTAGGCTCAAAATACTACATGCTATTTCACTATCAATTTTTAATTAGAACATGTACAATAGAGAGTACTGCTTAAAAAAAATCAATGGCTCCTTAGGAAGTAGTTTAATGTGACATACATTTGAGAGATAACCCCTCCATGCATCCCTGTCCCTAAAGACCCAATCTTGATTAAACATACAAGAGCAAGCCTCTCCAGCAACCCTGCTGGGGCTCAGCTGGGTGCTCCCTGCAGTGCACAACATAAACTACAGCAACTGCTGCAGGCAAAGAGTCTTTAAAGGGCCCTTGAAAGTTTTTCTTTGGCTCCCACTTTGCTCAAAGTAGCCCATGAAACAGGAACAACATCTTATTTAAATAATAGGGGTAAAAAAATAAACAGCAAACAGTTAGCTAAGGAAAAGATAATGACATTTTCCTTTGCTTTGTTGTTTTTTTTCTTTCCTCTAAATGCATGTGATCCTTATTTGTTTGCAAAAGTAAAGAATGAAAAGCAATAATTAACCACAATGGTAGTAACCACAAACTTCTTCCTGTAAAAGAGAGTGAGCCTTCTGTCCTCTTCTTTAACTTTTTTTCATTTGTTACTAAAGCTACTGCATAAATTCTACCTTTCACTTTGTGTGGTATAAGGTCAACATTACTTCTGCATATTTTTACCATGATCCCTTCTTCCAGCTGACAGAAAGCCCTGTCATCAAGAAGACTCAAATTTGTTTAAATTTGTTTAAATTGCCAGAACATTGAACATTGCAATGTTCAGGAAAAATCCATCTAAGAGAGAGAAGTAATCTGTTTAACAAGAACAGAAATACATTAGCCTCTTTTATCAGGTATCATGAAAGCAACTTACTGTCCAGATCACAGAACCATAGCCTGAAATTAAAGTTGATTGCCAGTAGGACACTTGGGTGGCTTCAGGATATGAAATAGCAAAAGAAAGAGAACTTTTTTAAAGTACTTACCTACAATAGTCACATTATAGTTGAGTGTGACTATCAAAAATCCCAGTGTGTCCCAGTGCTCCATGTTTGAACAGGCTTAAAACACTTCCAGCTCCTGATGTCCCAACAGTTTTGTCATTTCCAAAGGAGATTAGACCTAGACAGGGAGGAAAGGGATAAAAAAAAGGAAGAAAAAATTTAAAAGAATTTTTTGCTAAGGGTCAAGGACAGAAATCAGGAACTCAGCCAAAATAATGTGCTGGTGAAGGATTATTTTGATTATTTGAACAGGACTGGTAGTTTTGAATGTTGATCTTCTTCAGGCTTTAACACGTTGTCTTCTAAAAGCTTTAGCTTGTCAGATTCAATTGCTCCTACCTCTGTGGATCCTCTGTCCAGGCAACTGCAAGTGGACAAACAACAACAGGAGTGATCTCTGCCATTGTAGACTATTCTTACCCTCCCAGGGCATACCAGCCTCCTGGCATTGCTGAGATGCTTCAGTGGTGAAAGACAGCGAGAGAGGAAAAAATAGCATGGACCAGGAAATAACAGAGACCTCTCTGTCTCCTCACAAAAATTGCAGATGAATAAGAGAAAGAAAGGGGATAGAAAGGGATGAGCATCCCTGTGTTTGAAAGGCAACTTCAGTTCAGGTCACTGGAAGCTATCCCATTGAGATTTCCCGAAACCACTTGGTTTCTAAATCAAAACCTCCTTGACAGAACACCATGGCCCTGTCAATCACAGCCCCACCAAACTCTCCTCTGTGTGCTGAGCCAGCCAGCAGGCTGAGCGTCCCTGAAAGCAAAATGAAAAACAGGGGAAACTTTAAAAAATAAAAATCCTAAGGGTGGGTCTGGTTTTCAAGATGCCACAGGTCACTTATTTTAATTTATATCAGTCCTTTTGGCTGAAACTGCTTGGTACTTCACTGAAACTGCTTGGAGATCACTCAAAAGATCTTAAAGGTGACTGACCAGTGTTCTGACACCCAGCAGCCTCTCAGCAGTGGTGGGGAAGTTCCCACTTGGAGCAGAGTACCCGTGGGCTCAGCGCTCCTTGACCACAAGGTGCGACTGCACAGCACGTCCTGGACATGGTGTCACTGTGCTGGACCCCAGGAAAAGGCAGGGGTGAAAATAAGAGTCTCAGCTTTTCCTTCCTCACCTCACTTTTCACCCAGGTTACCGTGGGGAAAATAATCTACCACCATCTTCCACCCACTCTCCAACCAGTTTTGGGATGTTGCTCTGTCCTTTTTCTCTGCTGTGGCAAGGACAAACATACTGTGAAAACTTAGGAAATAGTAACAATCCCTAGAAAAGCAGCTGAAGGACGAGTCTGTGTGTGATATAGCAAGGGAGAAAAGCGATTTCCTGACACCTGTGGGGTGCCAACAGCCCAGGCACGGGCTGGGCACTGCAGCCCTGCTTGTGTGCTTCAACCCAGAGCTGCTCTGGGGGAGCAAGGGCAGCTCAGAGGGAGTGTAGGGAGATATTCCATGACTTAGGGGCTCTGCAGCTGGGCTGAGCTTTATGACTGAGCACATCTGACCTGGGTAAAAGGTAAATCTAATAGTTTCATTAAGTAAAATATACCTACACAAAGACATTCTCCCCAGCTCTCTGCTCACAGGCTTTGCAATGCCTTGGCAGAACACACTGAGCAGAACACATTTACCACTCTGCAGTAAGCACCATCCTAAGGAAACCCTAAAAGAAGGGTTTGAAAAGATGGCCCTTCAAAGCCCTTTGTTTGTTATTTGTGTAAAAAGATTTTTAATTGCAGTAGTAAATACAGAAATTTTATTGGTTTCAGAATTGATTTATGCAAAATATTTGCCAAACTGCCATTTCTTCTGTTACCAAGTTTTATTTATGGTTTGTGATGACGGTTTTAGCTTCATTTACTTATGCATACACATACACACACATTTTCTTTTTTTTCACAACCAGAGATATGTGTGTGTGAAAAGTAAGGGAAGGAAGGAAAGTTGGAGAAAGTCAGCAGAGAAAATATGCAACTGGTCAAGATATGAATTATGCTGAGATATGAAGGTATTCCTGGTTAAACATCCTTTGTCCAAAATAAAGTCAGGAATGCCAAGATGGTGGCAGGATATGAATGCTCAGCAGCTGCATACACACAATAGGCTATAAATTGTCTCTGTCAATATTGTCAGTTAAAATATCCTTGCTTGTCGTTGCTGTGAGACCTCTACCATTTGTGTAAGAGGGATAACAGCTAGGAATTTAAGCCCCCAGATTGTTGCCTGAGGAACTATACCAGGCAACAACATCTGATCCCATGGCATGGATGCACTGAGATAGGATGGCCCATTTTTTTCTAAAAGCAAGCAGGCACCCTCCAGAGTCACAATGCAGCTTAGCTTAGGTCAGAATGCTTGAATTATATTTTAGCTTTTTCAGACAACTTTAGCTTTTTTAATTTTAGCTTTTCTTTTTTCAGCTCATATCTCACTTTAATCCAGTGCTTCTCCTTTCTGTGGTGTGCCCTTTTCCCAAGCCTCTGTCATCAGTCCAGGCTGGGCTCCAGTCTGTGGTGGCTGGTATAAAGTGTTTGGTCTCCACAGAACCGTAGGCTTTAGTTTCCTCACCCCTTGGTTCAGCACTTTCAGGCCATGGTTCTCATCTGAAGATTTTGCACATCATAGCTGAAGATATTCACCATATAATCCCCCTCATTTATTATTTATCTTTAGCAGTTCCCTGTATTCCCTGTCACACTGTAAAGAAATAGGGAGAGCAACATGACAGACATGGGGTGTAGCAGCAGCAGGACCCCAGTTCTGCAGTGCCACCAGTTGGTTTGGCACCATTTCCCACACCAGAGGAGGGGTACATGGTGCACAGCCCCAGTCCCAGCTCTAGAATCCCACAAACAACTCTTCCCAACCTAAAAAGCTGTCAAATCTGTGAACTTGCACTGCATTCTTGTTAAAAAGAGAGGCAGGTAGAAAAAACTGACATGGTATTGGGTAAAGTCAAACTTTGAAACCCAATAGTACCTCATCACATCTGATTTTAGGAAGGGCCCTGAAAGCCACTGGAAAGCTTTCACAGACAAACAATGAAACATAAGAAGACACAAATCTATTTTAAAATTCCCAACTGCTGTCCACATTCATAACCCCTTACCATAGATCTTGGGCTTGATCCTATAAAAATTCAGAGATGTGATTCCATCATTGTAAGAGACCCACTGAAACATTTTGAACTATTGGAACTGAATCTCACTGCAGTGTGGACCTGTGCCACATCACCAGTCTTAGACCTGGTCACTTCACACAGAGCAAAGACACTTCAGTTAGTCCTTGGCTCAGAATGACATCCAGAGGTAAGGCAGAGTTAGCTTGAAGACACTTCAGGATCAAATCTGTCACCTGAATGGTGCCACAATCTACATCACACATCAAAAAGCTCCCAGAAAATAAAGGCACAGCAAATCCCAAACCCTTCTGTCTTACCCAGTCAAGACCTACACTAAGTGACACCCAAGTGAAGTGAGAGTTACTAAGGGAGACTGCACCTTACACAGCACCTGGCAATGAAGGAACATCCCTCTACCAATTTAATTAACGTTAAGGCAAAATAGGTTAGCATAGCAGCTTCCCTAAAAGACAAGGGGATCTGGCATTTCAGTCCAGGTCCTTTGGCATAACGTAATTTAAGAAAGAAAAAATACAGATGCATATCTAATATTTTAAAGTCCATTAAAAATCTACTTAGAATTTTTCTAGTTAGCAAAAATTATGCATTAGTGATGAATCTCACAGTAAATCTAGCTCTTCTGAAGGTGATTCATAAACGGGGGGGAATCTATTTGGAAGGGACAGTAAATATTAAAAGGCAATTTATCTTGATGACCTTATTTTAAAATTTGTAAAATACAGCAGAAGAGGGAGAGAAAGAAATGAGCTAGACATGAAGGACAATAGCAAAGTAGTAGGCAAAGCTGTCCAGAAAAATGCTCTTTTTAAGACATATGTGCTGCACACATGTATGTAAATCTTCACAGCACACACACAGCCAAGGAGCCAGCACAGCATGGAAAGCCCTCCACACAGGCACATGCAGCACTGCACACTCTGCATTCCCTGGGACCTCTGTCCAGCTGCCACTCGGGTGTTGCTGCAGGGAAATGTGTTTGAAAGTAGCCTGTGCCCAGAACAGCCACCATAGCAATTCAGACATGGAGAAGGCAAGGCAATCACAGCTCCAGCTTTTGGGCTACAGAGCCTGCACACACTGAGGTAGGGTAGCAGTGAACATTTTTCATTAATCTATTCTGTGAGGACCTTAAATAATGTGCTCCTATTCCCCACTGCTCAGCCTCTAACTCATCAGTCCCCAGAAGCAGCAGAGTTGAGTGCAAGGACAGGAAACTTTCAACAAACGCTCCCTCTTCCCCATCTCTCCCTGCCTCCCATCCCCAGGGAGGAGCTGCATGCACACATGCTCAGATGTACATAAATGCCCATGCAGGGGTGTCTAAAACAGCCCAGAAGGACGCCCAGAGCAGTGAGGTTGAGCCCATTTTTTAGCTGCTCATACTGATTGGATTCGACCTTGCTGACTTCCACACCAGCTCGGTCCCCTGGGACGCCTAAGCCTGGTGCCTCAGTGCCTCACACGTGTTGTGTTGTCTCACTGTTCCTCTACTAATTTAGTAAACCTAAAAAAAGACTGTGTTTTACTGCATGCTCTTAAGGATCAGACCATTCTCCCACATTGTCACAGAACCCCTTATTCTAAATGTTTGAATATTCAGAAAAGTCACATTTCTAAAGGGAAGTGGCTTCTAAGAGGACGACAAACAGAAAAAGCAGCTCTTCTTCAGGCTGGTTCAGCAACTTCACAGCTACTCAACCAAGAATTTTGAAAACTTCAAGACAGATAAGAAGGAAAATTAAGTAATGTAAAATATATTCTCGTTCAGGAGCTCAGGGCCAATTTCTTCAAAAGCATTTAATTTACTAAGTAGTAAAAGTACAAAGTGAGTCCACTGGATTTTGAAAAGCATATTATTAGTATCTGCTTAACTCCCACTGAAAAAGGTAGCTACATGAGCACATTACATTATTACTGAATTTTGCTCTGCTGTAACACACACAA